AGCCATACTGGTCCAGGGATGCTTCCCCACCTGAAGCCCTGCTCTGGCAGGCCGGCAGCACTGGAGATCCCCGCAGCGCTGCCCAAGGGAGCAGGCAGGTCCCCCTCTTCCTCCTCCGTGACCCCACTTGCCGTTGTGCGGGCCAGTTGGCCAGCACTGCTGGCAGGAGGTCGCCTTGTTTCCAGCGAAGGAGGGTTTAAAGCCAGCCCAGAAGCTGGAGGGGGGATGCACAGGGCTCTGGGTGCAGGGCTGGGCTCTCGGCCACACGGAACCGACCTCGCCGCAGCGCGGAGGAGCTGGGTTCGGCAGCCTGGCAGGCCCAGGGGAGCTCGCAGCGAGCTCCCGTTCTGCTGCTTGGGACAAAAAAAAAACCAACCCCCTTCTGCCTGGAAGCCACCCCTGCCCGGCCTCGTCTCTACCAGCAAATGACATCCCCGGGTGCTCGCAGCCGGGCCCACGCGAAGGCACCGTCCCCGCGTTCCCTGATGTCACCCCTTGGCCCCGCACGCAGCCAGCTCTGGCGCTGGCAGGGCTTGCGCTCGCTTCCACAGCCCGCAGCTGCTTTCCACCGCTCTTTGGGGTGGAACTGATTTTTTTTTTTCCCCTTTACCTCGCAGCAGGGACCCTCTCCCAGGGCCAAGTGTGCGTGCATGCGAGGCGCTGCCTCCCTTGGCTCCGTGCAGGGGCTGGCTGTGAAAACAAGTGCCCTGGGGGAGGTTTTTGGTGTTTTTTTTGTTTTTTTGTTTTTTTTTTCCCCAGGGAATGGTGTTTCTCAGCGCAAACTGAGCAGCCACTGAAGTGGCTTTTCAGGAAACGGGGATAAAAATAGCTGTAATGGCCCTTAGGCGTGTAAAGGCAGGGTGCGGGGCCTCCCCGCGCGCTGCGGGGGGGAGAAGGTGAGCTGAGCTGCGAGGGTTTGGTCCCACCAGTCCCTGCCTCCAGCTCGAAGTTGGTGCTGGGCACAGAGAAAAGGTACCTGAACTGCTCAGTCCTGGCAAGTGATTCCTTCCAAGCGTTTGGGGTGGCAAGGGGGAGCTCACGCCACAGCCTCGCTCTCCACTGACGGGAGGAAGACGCTCGCGAGGGAATTAAGGGCTTCAGCTACTGCAAGAACAGCTCAGAGACAGCTTAGAAAAAAATAAAAAGAAGCCAACATTTATTTCAGCAGCAAGTTCAGCCCCTGCTAGGACAGGGACCCAGTCCCTGGTGTTTTTCAGGCATGCAAAGGTTTTGGCACGCTGAGCTTTAGCTGCTCCTGTGACCAAACTGAACCACGCTCCAGGAAACATCTCCAAACCGCACATCACCCGTCACACAACCTGAGCGAGACCTCCAGAGCTCACCTGCAAGCCTAACCCCTTTTCTTTCTTTCCCGTGGCCTTACTGGACACCAAATAACACCCACGGGAACAGGCTCCAAACTGGCATCATCCTTTCAACGTCCTGACGCCCCAAGAAGAACACAGCAGAGGGGAGCGGGCACCACGGGGAGTCAGAGACGTCGCAGGGGACGGGGAATTTGTGCCCGACCAAAGCTGCCAGCCCCGGCCGGAGCTGCAGAGGCTTTGGTAGGTGCCAGTGCTGCCGGGCAGAAGGCAGGCGAGCAGCCCTGAGGGTATGCACGGCACCCCTGTCCTCACCGCCCGTCGCCCACTTCTCACCACGCAGATTGCTCCTAGTTTTGCAAAACCCACTGCTAAGAACAACCCCGGAGCAGGGGGAGGCAGACGGCTGCCTACAAGAGACCTTCAGCTTCCTGGGGCCTCGGGGGAAGGAGCCCACGAGCCAGGCTGCAAGCTGGCAGGGTGCTTGAGCTCATCTCTGCCAGCGACCGCCCGCCCGTCGCGTTGGCAGCGGCCGGGCAGGCACTTAATTCCCCTTCACAAGCACCACCTTAACGTAAGAGCAACCTATTGTGGTGTGAAGGGCAGCAGAGAGCAACCAGACCATCCCCTGAGGTCAAACACAGAGGGATTTATCCCTCAGGCAAAACTTTTTGTGTTTCTTTGGCAAACTTTTACCGGGTTCCTAGGAGGCTGGCCCGGCATGGCTCAACCGAAAGGGAACGCTGGGCCTCCTGAGCTGTCAGACCCCTCCTGCCTCAGCAGCAATATTTCTACTTTGGTCTCCTAAAAAAAAAATAAATATATATATATTCTGTGAAGCTGGATCTCGGTCTCCATCCCCCCCCC